GCATGTGGGAAGCTTAGATGGGGCGTGCGAGCCAATATTTGTTTGCTCAGCTTGTGTGAACTTCCTGCATGTGAGGTTAACAAAAACGAATCTGACATGGTAGGTACCCAAGAAACAGAAATGGTAATGGGTGTCTGAGCAGAAGGTTCGGATTGGGATCAGGGAGGGGGGGTCAGTAGACCCCATGTCGTTGCAACTTGCAAGGTTAGCCTGACACTGCTGCTGTCATGGCGGAATCCAGGAGAGTGAAATCTCAAAATAGGACCCCCAAATGATTGGTTTCCTTCTGGTTTCCCCTTTCAAGCCAACCGAAAAGGGGGGGGGGGGGTGCAGCCACACACTCACCCGAGTAGTCAGGGCAGCTTGAGGCACTCCCAAAAACGCAGCTGGTTACAGGGGATAGTATGGAGATATTGGAGGCCTGCCATAAAGGAAGCTCACTGTTTTGGGTTTAGGAAGCCACCCTTCACAGCTTTGCAGCCCATGAGATTCATGCAAGCAGATTGTAAATCAGCAGTTCATCGAAAACACTATGCCATGTGCTTCAACACATTGGCACCCCATGCGAGGACATCGCGAGCCAAGTCTATAGGACTTCAGCTCAGTTGTGCCGGCGAATGACATGGTTTGCGCATGATCCAAGGACACTATGTGCTCATGAAAACCATTGGTGAGGGGACCTTTGGCAAGGCCGCAGTTCAATGGCCGCTGGAAGACTAGTTGCTTTATCGTCAGGTGAAGCTCGGTACCCACATCCTGACGGGTGAGCGTGTGGCTGTGAAAGCAGGGTTGCTCAGTGAAAGAGGCAGAAAGGCTGGGTTGCTAGTTACAAACTACATTAAAGCATTTATTTTGCCTAAGCGCAGAGATTTGTGCATTTTGCGTAAGAGCAATGATCCATTTCCCGATTCTGTCCGGAAGCCATGAAGCATGGCACGTTCGACCAATTCAATATTTGCACTGTCACGGTGCTGAAGGTATTAGAGAAGGAGCGTATCCAGGAGCTGGCTGATGTGGAGCGAGTTGCACGTTCGCAGCTTACCTTGCGAAAGATGTCAAGCAAATCGACAAGTGTATCATATGTTTCTGAAGCAGCATGCCTCAAGATGCTCAAAGACTGGGTCGGGTAGGTGAAATTCACATCCTCAAGCTGATACGGCGTTGTCGGCACATCATACAGGCCGTCAGGGCAGCCTCAGCAGGTCTTAGGATGCATCTCGGGGCAGGAGTAGCGGGAAGAGAGAAAGCATGTGCCCAAGCAGTATTGCGTCAGTTGTACGAGATCATTGAGACTCCCCGACAGCTGTATCTCATCATGGAGTGCCCCGTGCTGACATTGCAGTGGGTCAAAAATAGAACCCCAAAATGAAACCCTGGTAAATGGAAACAAGGACTAAAACCTGCGGTCCATATCCTGGTGGTTTCATTTGACCCATACCCACATTGCCGTGGATTCCAGGTACGCGCCCGGCGGAGAGCTGTTTGACTACATCGTGGAGCACGGTCGTGCCGAGGCAACGATAGATCTGTCAGAATGATGGGATATGCTTCTGAAGCTTCGAGACTGGCAAAATCTTCAGACATCAAAAAAGTGGCAGGAGCCAAGGGGACACATCGATATGCCGATAGACATGGGAGTTTCTCAAAGTTGTGCACCCCCCTTTAGTTGATATTTAGAGGGAAGCCAAACGGAAATCGACCATTTTTTTGCCTCCTATTTTGAGAAACACCCACATCGCTTGAGTCATGGCTTTCTGTCCATGCCAGGAGAAGGATGTTGCAGCCTTGGCATCACCCAAAGATGAGGGTCCCAAGTTTTCACCTTGGTTTCACGGGAACCCAAAAGGCACCACCGTCACTCTGTATTTTTAACATGCCCAAGGTGTGTGCAGTTTAATTGGGGAGTCTTTGGTGGACATGATTTGCATGAGACATGTCTATCAACCCTTTTTGTGCGGGGACTCTTCATTGAAATTCACAGGAGGTCGAACAAGTTGTGAGTTGAGGCCTGTCGGTTTCTGCACCAGATTCTGGCGGGTGTGGAGCGCGTCCACCAGACGTGCGGCTGTCAGTTTGTGGCCATTGATGCAACATGTTTGTGACGACTTGTACTTCACCATACAGTGCAAGTACTGTGGCAAAATATGTGGTAGAGTGGCTGCGAGTAAGGTTGATGGATGAGTTCCAACCACAAAAGTGCTGCCAACACCTCACCCCACATTGACATCACTGCCAGGAACGTGGTGCACAGAGACATGAAGCCCGAAAACTTGCCGCTGCCTTGAGCAGAGCGATATCAAAGCTGCGCCCATGGCCGAAGTCGGCAACTTGTTTAAGTGTGTCCAACATCTGAATTGGTTTCACAGCAGAGTTTGCCGAGACTGGCGTGCAATTGCTTGAGAATCATGCTTTCCACTTGCAAGGCTTCTTGATGAGCGCGAATGTATCAAGATAGTAGACTTCGGTCTCAGCAACACGTTCCAGGCATGGGACTCAAGAAATTATTTTTTGTGCAAGAAGACGAAAGCCACAGGACGAGCAGCTTCTTCAGACAGCGTGCGGCTCTCCCTGTGGCACAGCTGCAAGAATCCGGGGACTCAAGAAAACTCACTCGCAAAGGCTATGCAGCTCCAGAGATGATTGCGGGCAACCAGTGCGCCGGAGATGCGCTTCGCACCTTGAGAGGTAGGCCAGTTGGTCCATCACATCCCTTTGAAGGCCACAGGATTTCAGCACTTTCAAGTCGAACCTTGGTGGGGAGTGGGGACAACAACAAACAGACTGGGCAGAACATGCAGTACTTGCCCCCTCACAACGACTTTGCATCACAGAGAAGCAGTTGCGGGGGAAATCGTATGTCTCCATTGCAAATAGCTGCACTTGCTTTCAACTTGTTTTACACGCTTCACGTAGAAAACGTTCACGCCACAGTCATGTTCTCTCAACGCCCCTTGTCCACTTGCAGGCGGTTACTTGCAGGCACAGCTTCAAAGAACCCAGCCATCCCACACAGTGGTCGATCTTGCGAGTAAGCACTATGCGCGTGAACGTGAGGGCAACTGCATGCCGTGGTCGAACACTCGCATGAACGTGATGCGCGTGAACACGAGCATTCGCATATTATTTTTGATGAGGAATACGCTCCTAAATGTTTGGTGGACACAAATCCCCGCCTGAATGATGTCCACCAGAGGCGCCCCTTTTAGCATTTGCGCGCACACACACACACACACACACACATGTGCCCTTGTTTTGGCTAGGTACTTTCCGCCCATGGTGGATGTATGGAGCTGCGGCGTCATCCTATTTGCGCTGGTGTGCGGATTCTTGCCCTTTGAGGCCAGCACTCAAAGACTCTTTCTCACCCCTTCGGTAGGGATGGTCACCTCGGGGTTTTGGACCAGTGCGAAGGCTCCTGAAAGAAGCGTGACCACCCAACGTGTGGAGTTTGGACCAAATGGTGCTGGGTTCTCCGTCAAGTGCGCTTTCCTGGCATGAATGTCAGGACCAGAACCATGCTGAGCTTTACAAGAAGATCTTGAATGCCGAGCTGCCGCCTTGAGGATTGTTGCGTTCTCGCTCCTCACCGTCAGAAGATGTCACAAGATGCCAGAAGATGTTACGAGCAGTGTTTCATTTAACCGAAAAGAAACATGCCTCAACATGCAGTAGGACCGGACCATGAAGTCTTTGCTGAGGTATGAGGTTCCCAATTTCATCAGCAAAGATGCCGTGGCCTCGGACAACTCTGCCCCCGATTGAGTTCCGTTGCGCACGCCAGTGAATTGCTACCGGGAAAATGAAGCTTGATGTCAGAACAGAGGTTGTGAACCTCATTGCCGGCATGCTCACCACGGCTTGGCCCCGAGCTATTGCAGACTTGTACAGCTAGCGAGCAATGGCAGCTTGGCAGCTCGCGCCTATGTCGACTGGTTTATCGTGCAGGATCCAGAGAAGAGGATGACTCTTGTCGACATTCGCAATCACAAATGGTAAGTGCCTCAATTGGCAAGCTCGCATTTGCGTGGTCTAGCGAGCTGTTCCCAGCCATACCCTCCGACTGCCTTCGGGGCTTGAGAGGGATTTATGACAACTGGGGAGCCATGAACCGTTCGTCGAGCCAAAGACTCGTCAGGTACCGGCAAATACCAGAGGCCAGCTTGAAGGATCGTGAGGACGACTCCCTGGACGAGGAGCATAGGGGTCACAGGCTTCCATTTAGATCCCGTAGAGTTAATCTTTGGCGAAGTCAAGAAATGAAACCCTGGTCACAGATAGCCAGAGAGATACACTATGACGAGTGCCAACATTCAAAGATATTTTGTGCGCAGGCGATCCTGGACCAGCTGGACAGTTATGGCTTCCCTCGGGAGTGCCCTACTAAAAAACCATGCAGGCAGGGCTAGTCTTGATGAAATTCCAGGTATGCTATCAAGTGCTTGCAGAGCAACAAGCACAACCATGTGACGACAACGTTGGCGGCTCAGATCAGCCATTATAGATCGAGGGACCCCCAAAATTGTGACTTTCCTTTTGGTTTATCTTTGCTTGAATGCGCATAAGGTACTACCTCATCAAGGAGAACCAATTGCGCTCCGAGGATGCAGGCAGGTCAGGCATGCTCTCAGCATGGGGACAACATTGCGTACACTCATTCTTGTTATCTCTAAATTAATCTGGAGGGCCCTGCTAATCAGACGAACCCTCTATTGTTTGCACACCACCCTCATTTTTGGCGGTTTTCCGGATAGTCATTTGTTGTGATTAACAGATACTATTAGGAAGCTGGGGGTAGATGCCGCAGAGGCCTTGCCGCCAAGCGAACCATTGCGGACATTGACGCCACATGCTTTGAGGACCAGAGTAGAATCTGCCACATGAGTTGATTGCTGCATGGCAAAATGCCAGGACTTTGCTGCATACGCCAGTCCAGCCGTGGCAGTTGCGATGGTGGCGAATGTCTCGGAGCCTTGCGGCGGAAAGCTGGAAGTGAGCCGCGCCCAAAACCTTTTGCCAACTTGATTAGCTAGATCCTGTTAGAATCCTGTTTAACCATGTTGGTACAACCAACCCACGCGTTTCGAGCGCTGCCTCACCATGCTGCTCGAGGCCACGCCGTCCAGAGGATCACGCGCAGGGGAGGCTGGACTGAGCGTTGACTCGAGCGGACCGCAAAAATCAGACTCTCATTGACCTCGCCTGAAGGAGTCAGCTTCCAAGCCGGGGGAGGACGGACGCTTGGGACGAGCACGTTTTCCTGAGGCTGATATGTGCAAGCGGTTGATAGGAAGCCAAAGGAGTCCCACCAGGAAATGCACAGAAGGGACCGACCAGCCAAAGGGGTTCTGATCGGATGTGTTTGGACAGACCAAACATTCTCTAATCCTTGTGGCAGCTTGGCACGGACTCTTCGTTGCCCTTCGGCAGAACACCTTGGGCCGCATATCTCCCTATAATTTTGTCTCTAGATGACTCCTGCACTCCCGGCCAGCTTGCAGGACGGCTGCGCCATGCCAGAGGCGATTCATGTGTTTTTGTTGGTCGCATGAGTGAAGAAAAGTTTTGCCAGGCATGCCAGACTTCCAGGCCAGGAAGGTCCGGAGATCCCATGATTTTTGAGCCCATTTCGACGTAGGTCAAAGGCAGGTGCTGGTCCATCTCCCCGAGGCTCGCTTGGTAATTTTTTTGGGGCCGCTGGTCACGAGCGCCTTGCATGTCTGGTGAGGCGGCAGAAATGGCCACTCAAGATCGCACTCGCCCCAGCGTGCTTTTTGGAGGGTACCCTGTTTTCCAAAAAGACCACTCAAGGGAAAGTATCCATTTTTGGGGGGTTCCATTCGGAGACAAAACCCAAGCGTTGCAGACGAACTCTTCGGCAAGGACTGGTCCTCCGGCGTCTGGTGCAAGGCTTGCGAAGTGAGAAGTGCGTACTTGAACCCGGGAATCGGTTGCCGTTTCGAGGATATCAACCACGAATAGACCTGCCGCGAATGAACAACATGTCAAAGAGTCCCTTCCAAGAAAGGAACCCTTTTGCATAGAGCTCGTGAGACCGCACTGAACCCTGATTCCAGGCGGCCAGCTGAACGATCAGGCAGGCTTCGTTCAGCGTGCGATGTGCTGCAGTAGTTCGACGCTTGGGTCCAATGTTGGGTCCAATGTTGGCGGGGGTGGAGCTTGGATTACATGACCATTATGTTGCCATGAGACGTGTTGAAATATCTCGGGTGACAACTCTAACGTTTTGGGCCTTTGTGTGCAGTGGGAGAGCCATAACCCAAGTGGGTGATTGTTGCTGTGTGAGATTCTGCCAGGAGCCTGGGCCAGCCCACGGCCCAGAGGCCATGTGTGCAATGTGGTTGTGTTGTGTGCCTGTTTGGTTGTTTGATTGTTTGTTGTTTGCTTGCTTGCTTGCTTGCTCGCTCGCTCGCTCGCTCGTTTGTTTGTGTGTTTCTGTGGAGGTAGGTCAAAGGGAAATCACAACAAAAGCCAAGATTGTGCGGTGCCCCCTATTTGGACACATCTAGATACTCCGGTGGAGATGTTTGTGCTGTTCTGAAAGCCAGGCGGGTACAGCTGTGATCGTGTGGGTGGCCCACCCAGAAGGCCAGCGCTTCGGGAAGTGATACTTGTGTTAAGGTGGCTGAAGAGGGAATTCTTGGGGTCCCTCGAGAGACAGATCCAGCTGAACTGCGGCAGGCGCCCAAACTCCACCGATCCGGTCAGAGCCTCGGCTCGCTCATTGCGTGAAGCGACGTGGATGGATTCAGGCGCCCTTCGCTCGACGTCTTTGCAGTCCATGGGGTCACGGCCCCATTCTGCATGCCCAAAGAAAGGTGGCAGGATCACTTTTGACCACTCGCTTAGTCACTATAGGAAGTTAAAGCAACGCAATGAAAAGGATTGCGTCGATGGAGCCATGGCCATTACCCACAGAAGTTTTTACCGAAAGACATACTGATGACTCGGAGGAACGTCACGCGGTGGCTACTCGGCGACTTCTGGTGAGCTTCTAGACTCTGAATATGAGGCCGGTTGCACAACAAGTTTTGTGCGCATCAGCTTTCCTCAGCATTGGAAGCACAGCTGTGACCTGGCCTTTGACCGCAGGTATCTCCACCGCCTGACAAAATTAATTCCGCCGGGCGCCGAAGCCAAGGTTGTTTCCCCCGAAAGTGAAGGATCCCCTCCAAAGTGGGACAGCCCATCTCTCACGATGTCCTTGGTGGCTTGGTGCTCGCCTGTGCATGCAAGACACAGGCCCGCGATCGCTATAGCAGCCCCCGACCGGCGCCTGAAGCCCAGAAGCTGAAGCCGAAAAACTTGGGTGGACCAAGTGTTGCAAAGCAAACTGTGTGATAGAAACCCGAGAGATGGAAAACCGAGAGCGCCTTAGCTCTTTGGAATGCGTGCGTTGGAGGTCCTACGGCGTGCCGCCAGCGGCGTGGCGGTTAGGCTGGCACTGACATTCGTCTCCACATCGCCAGGGCTTGTGGAAGCCCCCGAAGGGCCATTGGAATTGGCCGGCATGGCCTTGCCCGTGTCACACAAGGGGCAACACCTTGTTTGAACATGTTCAAACCGTTGAAACAACCTTTGCTGCCCCTTTTTCAGAAACCAATCAAGTATCATGTCGACCAACCCCGGAGTCTAAGTGTTGCAGGCGTGCAAAAAGCACGGCATTGCGACGAAGCAGCAGCCTCAGAGCCGTACCATAGTTGGGGTTCGATAGGGAACTGACCACGGCCACAGCTTGCATGAGAAGTCTTGACCGTAGCACACATGTTCTGGAGCTGAGTGATCGCGGCATGATTTGAGCAGGTGTCCTACAACATCTCGCAGGCGCCACGACAGGTCATGCAGGAGGCGCACGTGGAATTTTACGTGTCACAGATGGAGCCACCATGCGCATGGCAGTGTAAAGTTTGAAGAGATGTTGCACTGAGAGCACGAGTCATGTTCTTCGCATGCCGTTGCTTAGGGAGCTTCTCAGGTGACGCGAGCGCTGTCGTCCCATGGTATCAGCTTTCAGCAGATCTCGAGCTACGTGGCCCGCGGCCGAGTTGGCATCCGAAGGCGAGCTATGTGGCAGTATCACTCCTTGGGCCGTTGGGCCATGTGAATCAAGATGAGCTTACTTTGGGGTGTTTGAAGGGGGCGCATGTTTCAGAGCCCAGGTGCGGTGCCAGAGCCAGGGGGTGCGCTTCCAGGCTCCCAGAGTACAGTGTACACGGATGCCCCCAAGCACCGGAGTTGGCGCTGGTTCATGCAGGAGAATCGAAGTGTTGCCATGAGATGGCCATGGTTCAAAACCAATGGTACCATTTTGGGATAGCTGCACCACCCATTTTAGCCTATTTTAGTTGGGGATTGGGATGTTCACTCCGGGTACGGGGTTTTGACCCATGGCCAGATGAACCTTGGAGACCTTAGATTCTTAAGCCTTGGGGATGCAAGGCGGAGATTATGCAGGCTGATCAGGGAGGAGAGTGCTGCACCCACCGCCCTGTAGCGCAAGCATCATGGTAGTGCAGCAATGTACCGGGAGCTTTGCGTGTTATGACAGTGACATCAGGTTTCTTCTTCGCTTTAGAAAAGCTTCTGGTGATGCGCGATGCCAAGTTCGACCAGCCGAATGCTTTTGTTCAGCGATCAAGCACGCAGGCAGAACGAACAGCGGCTTGCCAGCGTGACTCATGGTTGTTTGTACACGGCCTGTCGGCTTGCGCTGAATCAGCCTAAAGCAGCCTGAATCAACACCAATCCAACCCGAAGCTCATTCTAGCAACCCGAAGCCAGACCAGAACCCACAACAATTCCATCCTAAGCCCACCGCAAAACCCTGCACTAGCCCTACCTGCACCCTAAACCCAAACCAAAACCCATCCTTCACCAACTCTAATCTAACCCCTAACTCCACCCCAACCCCATCAAACTAGCAGTGAACCGTGGCTTTTGCACAGGGACTTGCATGGTTCCTATCTCCTGCTACGGAAAGGTTTTGCTTCATTTCCCTCAAACCGTGTTTGTGTAATAACTACAGACTGCTTGTTTGTAATCCTGTGCCAACCTAGTGGTAGAGTGCAGGGATAGGCTTGGTTTGTACCAATGACTAGCTGTTATGCAACTTGGAAGCCTGAAGTGCTCGCTGAGGTGCGAAGCTACAAAGATCTATGTGCAAGGCTGGAAAACGTCAACGATCAAATGTTGCAGCACAATGGTCCATTTCGAAGGGACATAGAAGACGCACTAGATGTTCCACAAAAGTCAGGGACTCACTACTTATCCCATGTCCTCTTCAGGAAACCATGTTTGACTATGTCGTTTGTGTATTGGTTTTGAGCGTGTGTTTGTTCCCTCGGATCTCACCAAAGAGCGGCACGAAGGCTGCTGACATCGATGAACCTGTGAATGATGGCTGCAAAGCGGGCATCGCAAGCTTTTGCTTGCTTCACCAAAGTGCGGCATCCTTTGGCTCACTGCTTGAGTGAATTGGACCCGAAAGGGCAAATCCTTTGAGTTGCGTACCCATTCTCCCCCACACAGGCCATTGCCAGCAAGCAAGGAGAGAGTCATTGGTTCAGACTGCGTGGAAGGTGTCCTTATCAATCCCACAGTAAGACCTTTGGGGTAGATATGCGATCCACTGCAATCTTTTTTCTGCAGAGTGAGCTGCGTGCTTTGCACATAAAGTTCAGAAGATCTGCGATGCATGAATTGCTTTTCCCCTACACACTGTCCTGCTGTCACAAATGCAGCAGGATGGCAGGTCACTTGGGTGCAAACGTCCAACCAAGTAGCTTTGACACTGACCCTTGCACCCTGGTGCATGCCAAGAATGCTATGCAAGGAAATGACAGAGCTTGCACCTGTCTCACCAGTGCAAGATGCATTGCTGCACTCCGCTCAAGGAGTCGTACACCTATCAGGGGTTGGGGCGAGCATGTCCGAAGCGCGTGATTCACTCTCCGATGCAATAACCTGCGCCCAAGCAGGACTTAACCTGCAAACTTCGGATGCTTGTTCATAGCACCCTTTGAGTGCTGAATGACACATGCTAGTGCCACTTTGCGCGAGATCAGAAGGCTCGTTGCACTTGCAGAGTGTTCCGTGCAAGGATGATCGTTGTGCACGTGCGGGGTGTTTTGCGCAGTGTGACACATGCAGCTGATGGACCAGAACTGGCAACTCATTCAGGTGACAACTTTGAATCTCAGTTGCCCTTGATTAAGTAGCAGCCTTTCAGTGCAGGATCAATTTTGCATCGCTTGACACACTGTTGGAGGAATCAGCGCACATCTATGCCCATCTAGCTCACCCCCCTGACATGTTGAGACCACGCAGATACACGTGCATGCATTGTTCAGAGCAGTAGAACATGTGCTTTTTCGTGTTTTGTGGCAGACTCATGTTAAGCGAGCAGCCATGGCGGTGCCCCTTTCCAAGTGCGAGCTGGAATTCGCTGTTCAGGCAGCCTGGCCAGCTTGGGGAGGTTGACTTTCATGCCACAGGTCTGAACGATCGAGCATTTGGATCATGCGACAGCTGAGATTGTGAGATTTGAAGCCAAGATTCAGAAAGCAGCAGTTTATAAGGATTGCTGCTGAGATCAGGTGGAGTAGTGTGCTCTCACAGCCCGAGTTTAAAGAATTGCCACATAAGGCGGAGAGTTTGAGTTGCTTTCACTATGTTCCGTAAGATTGAACCTGTTGGCGTTGGTAGATGATTTCTTCTCAGGGTTAATTAATCCCTTTAGAAGGTTGACAGGCTCGACTAAGTGCAAAGCCAAATCGCGTAGGACACCAGTGGCAAAGGCAAAGGCATATGCAGAGATCTTGACCGCAGGCGCTCCGTGCCGAGAATGTGCGAGTGGGCACCTCATGGAAATGCGACTTGCGCTTGCACCATGGATGAAACAGTATTTGTTTTGCCCAAAGGTTGATGGGCGCGCGCTCACGGCGTGCGCTGATTGGATGGAAGCCGTTGGCTTGTGCTTTGCGGACTGCAAACAGGTACAGACGTCTCGGCATACGCTTCGGCGCCTCGCACGGTGAGGCCGGGGATTTCCTCTGGGGTCATTAGTTTGATGCTTTCTGGTGGTTATCAAAGTCACAAAATTGATGTGTTTCCCTTTAACCCACCACTTACGAGGTGACTTTGATCACCAGTCCCTTGGGAGCTCTTGGATCCATCGCGCAGGTTGAGGCGACCAGCCGCGCTTCAAAGAGTCGCCGCGGCCTCGATCCCAGGCAGCGAGCGCGCCAGGTGAACTTTGGGCCCACACGCGCGTGGGCTGCTGCAGCCCCAATCGAGAGATGTGTTGCTTTGGCAGCGCCTGAGGGGCAGCTCTGATTTGAAGATACGTTGTAGTCGGTTTTTGCGCATGGTACCCCTTCCAAGCCTTGGTTGAAAGGGACAGCAAAAAGGAACACCGCCATTTGGGGGTCCATGGGCATTCTTTACGCTGCGAAAGCTCCACGCTTCCGCTTGGCAAAAGCTGTGTGAGTTCTGTGTTTTTTGGTTCACTCGACCTGGCAAGATTAGAGAGATCCGACTGGAAAACTGGATGTTGACACTGACAGCACTAGCAAACCCCGAGCCAGCTGGGAGACCGAGCCCTGTTCGCGTTCCCAGCTGTCCGTCCTGGCTGTCCAGTCGTGCAGGCAGAAGAGCGCCCCAACCGTCTTACAAAGGATCGATTCTAGAGGTTTGCTTGCTTCCGCGGTCGGGGTTCGATTGTTCCACGCGTTGATTGTATTTTCGGCGGTGCAGAAGCTTCGCGCAAGCTTTCTTTACATGATTTGCTCACTGGACCTCAAAGACGTTAGCTCAGGGACTTGGGGAGAAACTCTTTCCGACAAGCATGAGCTTTCGCAGAAGCTTCACATGACAAAGACTTTTTCTGCATCGCTGAGCGGCCGCCGCTGCCGCTGCTGCAATTGCCGCTGCTGCAACTGCCGCTGCTGCTGCCGCTGCTGCTGCTGCTGCTGCTGCGCTTAGCTTAATATTTCCAAACCTTGAATCTTGAATGAGCTAAAATCTCGGGGTGGGGGCAGGTAGACAGGGTCACGCGGCCAACGTGGCCGGCTTTACGCAATGAACGGGCTTCTGCGCAGTGGCTTTGCCGAATTGAATCACATGACGTCCTTTTGTGCTGCACGACGGGCTACCGCCCTGCAAGTGCAATGCCCAGGCAAAGGTAGTTGGAACAGGCATCATGCTCGAGTCGCGACGGCAAGCATCACCGTTTGAGTTCATTGCAAGGAATTTATTATCCAACAAAGCCGGACACTCAATCATGATGCTAAAGGACTCACAACCCCTACAAGACGCACACACTCACTACTACTCACTCACTGACACCTACGCTTTACACAGCCTTGAATCATGGACACGAAAGATCTTCGACGTTTGGCAAGGTGTGCAGCGGGGAAATCATCAAGCCCCCACCGAGTCGCCCGAACGAGGGCCGAATCAGCTTCCACGTGGAGTCCGGGCCCCGGACGTGCTGATGGTTCGAGGAGCATGGGTACTGTATGTGTCAAAGCAGGGGACCAGAGCCCAAAATGGGTGGCTTCCCTTTTTGTCCCAGTCTGAAAAAGTTGCCTCAATCACACACCCGCATAGTCGAGTGCTAAGGTTCGGACCTCTTGCTTCTCCCAACTTTGAGGTTGGTAGACCATCGGCGCAGGTGCGGAATGCCAGATTCAGGCTGATTGATGCCGCAAGGATAGAAATCGCCCGTTGCTTTCAGCAGGAGCCTGCACTAAGGTGTTATCGGATTTTCGGGGTTTGATTCCTTTCGGCTCAATCCAACGTCCAACGAACCGACGGAATTCCAGTGACCAAGCGCACTCGCTTAAGGGGGTTTTCTTTGGCTTCCCGCAGGTGTGTTTCGACATAAGAAAACCCTCCAAAGGGGGGATTGACTTCCTTTTCAATCCATGTCTCTGTCTGATTACATGAACCTTTTATCAAACCTTATTTGAGGAATTGATGGAGGATGTCACTAGGATTGCTTAAAAGTGCTGATCTGATGCAAATGGGAAGACACGCACGCGTCACTCCCGTCCGCAGGCCATCTCCGTGGGGAACTTTGTGGAGCGCTTGCTGCGCGGCAGCCGAGCAATCGATGCAGAGGCCGGCATCTAGTCTTCGGTTGGCCAACGCAGGCGCTCAAACCATGTGGGTGCGGCTCAACAAGAAAAACCCAACCAAAAAACACACACACAGGTGAATTGCTATCCGTGTGTGTGTGTTGTTTGCTTCATCTCATTGCAAGGCTCTTTGCATTGTGGGTGGCCAGAAGGTTTGGAGCATCCGGGTTGACGCGCGGCTGCCTAGATCCGCCGGTTCGAAGTTTTTTGGCGCCCGCAGCGCATGCTTGCAAGAAAAGAAGTGCTGTGTCCCTTTTCTGACCTCAGGTCAGAGCGCTTGATGCGGGGCCCCTAGCTGGTTAGATACCATCAAAAGAAGAAGCTGACTTGTGTTTTCGAGTGACACACAGTCACACCCACACGCACACGCGCAAACACAACACGCGCGCACACATCATGGCGGCTTTGTTCCGCCAGGACGATGGCAACTTGTCCGATGTGTGCGCCATTGCTGCCCTATGCTCGTTGCTTCACTTCCGGAAGGCGCAAACACGTGGGAACGGCAGCTTTGGCGTGTGTCTGTGTGTGTCTTTGTTTTTGAAGGGTACTGTACCTGTTTTGGGATGGCGGTAAGGGGAATCGAAATTTTGGGGCTCCCTATTTTCAACACACGTGTCGTGGCACGCATGACACTTTTAGGAGAACGTTTGCAAAACGCGGAGCCTGGTTTGCTATCATTGTCATGTGTATGGGGTGTACGGCTCGCACAGCATGTGGCTTGGCCACGTGGTCACCGTGGCTTCGACCGGGCCATGGGGCAATTTTCTCCATGCCAGGCAGATGTGGAGGTGACGGGTGACTCCGCACGAGCGTTCTCCACCGAGGAGTGTCAAACTCAGTCCTTGCCTGCGGTCGGTACTTGCAAGCATGCTCAGGGTCCTAGTATTTCCCTTTTTGAGTGATTCAAACATCACCACTTGAGACATGTTGAAACGAGTTTGCTTTGGGCCAGATGATGTTGCCAATCGCCTCGTACAAGGCGCGCTCCTGTGCCCCTCAGCGTGCATCATCTTCCCGTGCCGGTTCCGCGCCTGGCTGTAAGCCCTGTAAGCGATTGTTTGCTTTGGAAGGGGCCTGTGTCAGGTCACGTTTGCTTTGTTCCCCGGTGCTGCTGGGAAGAACGGAGAACCGGCTCCGCGCTCATGCAACATTCTGCGAGACAGCAGACAGTGCACGTACCCAACATCAAGTTGATGCATGTCACTTCGTGAACATGACTGCGACTGTTGAATTTGAGAAAAGCCAGCAATTCTTTTCCAGGCTCGTGGCACGGTCAATATCAATTCCATACGCGCGATACAACTTAGGCCTGGGTTCTGGACCCAAACAGGCTGGAGGAGGCACTTCGGGGTGCTGGGCTGGTTCATTTACCCAACGTGGCAGTCTTGATTCAGCACTCAAAGCGCTCAGGCCGCAATGGGAGGCTCTCTTTGCATTGCGGCCACTGGGCTGTATCATCACAGCATGACAGCTACGCGACAATTGTCCTTCTGCCGTTTGATGGCACGCAGAGGTTTCGTGCTTTGCTGTATCAAGAGCGCACGCGGCGGCAACCCAGGTGAACCAGCACGGCGAACTGTGTGGCGTGTCAGCAGCCTAGTGGTGTGATGATATCCATTAACAGCAAGTGCAAAATGGGGTGAACGTCTTGCAAGGCTCACTGATCTTTGGGTTGGTTTGGGAAGCCAACAAGGACCCCCCCCAAAAAAAAGAGCACAAATTGGCTCCCCTCGCCAAAAAGCAACAAACATTGGAGAATCCATTTTCCCTGTTTAGACGAGGATGCAGTGCCGAGGCACAAGCCGGGGGGCATGCCCGTGGAATTCGCCATGGTGCAGCACTG